TTTGACTATTTCACCTGCTGTTCCTTGCGTTTTATGCCGGAGGTGGTATAATTTCTGGCCCTTTGTGAGCTGAGGATGGTTTATGTAAACCGCCGTGAACATGTCACGGAAGGGCGGCCATTGCTCGTAACCCCTATAAAAGATTTCGGTGTCGCAAGGTGGCACTCTTAAAACTGCGCCCGAACTTTCTTTGGACTGTTATGTACCGGGGGTTGGGTCGCGTTTTTGTTTCACCAGTTGGAGCTGATCTGCAATTTGGGCTTTTGTGTCCTCATATATTATGAGGCAGGACCTGTATTTATTAAAAACGCCTGTCCTAAAGTCTTCGGGGAGGTCCTGATCATCGATTTCTAGGGTAGAGTCATAGGAGTTTTGGACTTGATTCCAGAACTTATCTAAATTGGTGTATTTTATCTTTAGACCTGACTATGTGTTTTCTTTTATTGGGGTAGACTTGAAACTACTACAGTAATCCATAAAGTTGTCCGTTTCGGATATAAACTTAGTTGGGACGACCGATTGCTTTGGTCTCTTATTTGACTTTCCACTTGAACGGGCTGGACGTAGAGATTCCGTGGAAGCACCTTCGGCTTTTTCATCATCGCTCATTTTGTGTTTTGGGATCTGCTGTCGAGTTTGGAAACTTAAAGGGAATGAGCGTATTGAGGTTGAAACCGGAGTTTAATAAAATTAAATAGATTTTGGAAGGATTAATAGTATAGTATTAAAGCTTGTCTTTTTTTTCCTAAAAAAAGTTGTATCGCAGGAGGAGAATGCTAAATTATTAAAGACCGCGTTCGCGATAAAATAGTGGAAAATTTCAATGGGAGTTGCTTTAAGATATTATTTTATTTTACGTTATATTGTCTTTCCAAAGGTCTTTGTTCGCAAGCAAACCACTTTTTATTTAATTGTGAGTGAATTTTAACTGAGTACTGTTTCAGTTTTTTACTTTGTAAATAACGTTGTTCTATTTTTCGGGAGTTCACTGTGTTCACTTTATTTCGTCTCTATCGCAAATACGCACCTTATGTAGGTATGTATGTATGTATAAACAGGAGGACTGTTATAAGGGGTAAGTATATGTACTTTAAACTATGTATGTATATATATATCTAGCTTCTGCATGTATTTAAAATTGCGGGCACACTTGCTTTAACGCGCTAAAAAGTGGATATATGGCGGGAAAATGCACTTGTAATTTATGCTTCGAAAATTCGAGAAACACACAAGAAGCAAAATATGTGTACATACATGTGTATAGATCCATATTTTTTGTTATAAGCTTTCTACCGCAGGGTTAGTAGTAAAATTTAATTACTTACGGCTCAGCTGTGGTGTAATGCGATCAAGCATACATTGTTGCAACCCTACAAATCACCTTATATGAATTCGCCCAATGTATTATGTTACATCTAAGAATTTACGATATTAAAAAGGAACCCTGTTGTATTTGATAGCAGCTAAGTTGAGGAGATAAAATGAAAATAAATTGAGCGGCATTATTTGCGCGTTACTTAAATCGAGCAGTCGAGTTTAATTTTAATATATTTTTTGACGGAGGTTTGCTGACTACCAGCGTTGGCCGACGACAGAGT